CCAACCTCGCGTCTGAAGCTTCAGAAAAAGCGGCATTCTGCAAACATTCTGACAAAGAAACTTGCAGATGGCCACAATCGATGAGACAGCGCAGGTTTTTCTTTGAATTGCTGGGATCTCTTGGGCGATCAACTGACCCCAAAGTTGACCCCAAAGTTGGGCCGAATCCGAGGGACACAAGGCCTTTCCATAGCCCCTGCCGCGTACATCCGGATGCACCTCAGACCATCTGGTTGGGATCCAACCTGCTTGAGATGATTATATATCCCCAAAAAAAAAATGTTCCAAACCACCAACCAGCAACATCTTCCAAAATGTCCAAACTCAGTTTTTGGATCTTTTTGGGGCTTCATGCTGGGCAGAAGTAATTCAGCTGGTGGTTTCACATGTTACCCACGCCAAAACTCGCCAGTTATGTCAAGGCCACATCTTGCTGACAAAAGCCCATTGCGGCTGCATCGGTTGACTCACCATCTTGGAAAACTGCACAACTTTGCATTTCTTTTTATCTCCATGGAATTGTAGTTGAGCCCTCGTTGTTTGTTCAATCCTCATCATTCCCATTGTTTCTCCTCCAATTCTCGAGTCATCTTGGATGCCAACCGGACTACCAAATCGACAGTTCAGTTTGGCAGAGTAATTCATAGTACCCCATTAGAATGGTATAACATGGTATAAACATCAGTTATACCATGTTATACCATTCTAATGGGGTACTAACATCTTTTTATGACATAACATTGTCAGAAAATCATCAAAAAACCAGGACGTCACTACCACCATGACCATCCGACCCTGCCGCCGTTCACCGCGTCACCATATAGAGGCCATGTGCAATGTGACTCCCACGGCCATGAGCCGCGGGGTGAAGGACCTGAGGGTGAATGATCATCCTCCATTTCCATCTGAAAGGGTATACTGGTACAACCATGGTATAACCAATAACCTGGTATAACCATGGTATAACCATGGTATAACCATGGTATAACCACGTATAACTGTAAAACCATTGTTCCCATCATGTTTTTTTTGGGGCGACTTTGAAACAGGAATTCGGAATCATGGCCCAAGGGGCAGTGCAGAATGATGATGGCACGATCGAATCTTCAGCCCTGCTTCAGAATGATGGTCCAACGGACGAAACACTAATACTTTAAAGATGGTTAGAACATGTTAAAACGTCGTGGATTTGGAATGTGGCTAATCTATGCTAATCTGCGGCTTCAAAGTAAACATCTTCAACTTCAAGGGCGATTCAAGGGGAGTTCAGACTCCAACCTGTGGATAGCACCATCCATGAGTATTGTTGGCTATATCGGCTACATCCATCTACATCCATCTACATCCCATTATGTACCTTATTTGATACATCTAACAGTTACCCTCTGGTAAACGTTTACATAACTATGGAAAAATCCACCATTTTTCATGGGAAAATCCACTATTTCGACTGGGCCATTTTCAATAATCCCTTCCTCCTAATACTAAACGTCCCCCTAATACTAAAAACAGGCATCCATCTCCAATTTCCGAAAATTTCAGTTTGGCCAAATTGACTTTTAATTGATCCCCTTTAAAAAACAATTTAAAAATCAACCTACCATTTGTGGGTTCTCCCCCCTAATACTAAAAACTAGTTCACCCCGGGGTGTTTAGTATTAGGGGGGCCTAGTCCCAATCCCTCACTCCAAGCTGCCTAGCTACTCTAGCAATTAGGGGTAAGCTTCTAACTGCCATTTTGGCAATATTTTAATTGCGCTATATAAGGAAATTTAATTGATTTTGAGATCGGAAAAAATAGTTTTTAGTATTAAGGGTTTTAATTTAGTATTAGGGGTAAGCTTCGAACTGCCATTTTTGGCAATATTTTAATTGCGTTATATAAAGAAATTTAATTGATCTTGAGATCGGAAAAAAAAAGGTTTTTAGTATTAAGGGTTTTAATTTAGTATTAGGGGTAAGCTTCGAACTGCCATTTTTGGCAATATTTTAATTGCGTTATATAAGGAAATTTAATTGATTTTGAGATCGGAAAAAATAGTTTTTAGTATTAAGGGGTTTAATTTAGTATTAGGGGTAAGCTTCGAACTGCCATTTTTGGCAATATTTTAATTGCGTTATATAAAGAAATTTAATTGATTTTGAGATCGGAAAAAATAATTTTTAGTATTAAGGGTTTTAATTTAGTATTAGGGGTAAGCTTCGAACAGCCATGTTTGGCAATATTTTAATTGCGTTATATAAAGAAATTTAATTGATATTGAGATCGGAAAAAATAGTTTTTAGTATTAAGGGTTTTAATTTAGTATTAGGGGTAAGCTTCGAACTGTTATTTTTGGCAATATTTTAATTGCGTTATATAAGGAAATTTAATTGATATTGAGATCGGAAAAAATAGTTTTTAGTATTAAGGGTTTTAATTTAGTATTAGGGGTAAGCTTCCAACTGCCATTTTTGGCAATATTTTAATTGCGTTATATAAGGAAATTTAATTGATTTTGAGATCGGAAAAAATAGTTTTTAGTATTAAGGGTTTTAATTTAGTATTAGGGGTAAGCTTCGAACTGCCATTTTTGGCAATATTTTAATTGCATGAATAACTAATTAACATGACTTCGATTTGGTTCCCTAATAATAAATACCCCCCTAATACTAAAAACTACCTGCCGTGTTTTGTATTAGGGGGGGGGAGGGTTTAGTATTAGGAGGAAGGGATTAGCTATGTTAGTTTACCAGAGGGTATGGGATACAGAGTTTCTGTTGATTTTCTGATGATGGGATATCAATAAGCCAAGAATGTTAGGTTGGTTTTCCGATGGTTTTCCCAGTTGCCAAAACCTCCAGAGATCCTCCAGTTGCGCAAAGCGTTTGTGCGCTTCGAGTCCAAAAGGCGTAGACACCAAGGATTCCACCATTGATGCGGCCAGGTGCCTGGTCCACTGGTGCAGCAACGCTACGGGAGGGCCGGGAGGGCCGGGAGGGCCGGGAGGGCCGGGAGGGCCGGGAGGGCCGTGGAAAACCATAGGAAAACCATAGGAAAACCATAGGAAAATGGTGGTTAGTAGTGGTTAATAGTGGTTAATGATGGTTAATCATTGATTAATAATGGCTGGTTGGTGGTTGCTGCTAACCCCTCTGAAAAATGATGGAGTTCGGAAAAATGGGAAGGATGACAACCCACAAAAATGATGGAAAAATGTTATCCAAATGTTCCAAACCACCAACCAGTAAAGTCATATTAAAGTAATTAAATGCCTTCGAAGCATGGAAATCTGCTGTTTCGCGAATGATGATGAATGATGTGGGTGAGTATGAGACTTTGGGAGGTGCACTCTTGCGAGGAAGATTTCACCATCTGTGCAACGTGTCGTAGGTCCTAAACTGGAGAACGAAACCTGTCCAAAACAAAACTAACAAACTTGTAGGGGCATAAAACCAATCATAGCGGGCATGTAATGGGACATACACTATAGATGTAGTAACCAAGTATGTGATTCGTTGGTTCGTCGGCACAACTCATGGGATACATCAAACTTGCGGTGTCAATGAGCAACATTGGATTTTGCGTGAACCTCTTTCCAGAGAAAACCACACCCCTATAGAAACACTGGTGTACAATAAGTTTACTGGATGTAGCCATTTTGGGGCACCAAAACGCCAAAATTCATTGATACTAGGAAGGGATGAAATGGAGGTTTTAATGGGAAAACCATAGGAAAACCATAGGAAAACCATAGGAAAATGGAGGTTTCAACCTCAGCGAAGCCCAACATTTCATCGGATGGCCTCCAACACGAAAGTTTCAGCATGCTCAGAGGCCGCTGGGAGCCATTGGGACCCAAGCTCCTGGCACCAAAGGAAATCGATGTGAAAACTCGGTGCCCAAACGGTACCCTAAAATAGCAGGTGTATGGATGTTTAATGATCTGGGTAAATTATAATAATTCACTAACCTGAATTAAGGCCATTTGGGGATGATTTCCCTTACTAACCATGATTTCCAGTGAGGTCGTAGTGAGGTCGTTATAATTTACCCGGAATGATGTTCATCCCCCCAAATATGGCAATATCATCAATCAATCAATCAATACATATATAATAGGTTTTGACGCACCCCATCTCATCCCCATATATTTTTCATGGATTGATTTAAGACAAATACACGAAAGGCAAGGCTTTTACCCCAAATTGATTGGACTTTAAGTGTAGATTTTCCTTTGAACCAGTTCTGGGATATATGATAACACCCTCTAAAATGGAAACAATAGAAATTACCACCGTTTCAGACTTTTAGACTTGACTTTTAATTTTCAATCTTATCTTGGGGTATACAATTTACCGACCAGCAGCACTTTTTTGGGATGCTCTCCCTACTCACCAGAAAGACACCATGTGCCATGCTCCAATCATGGAGAGCCGTTCGTAGGGTTGGAGAAATTTGGCCAATTATTGATGGGGCATCCTGTTGAATAAGCGCCATGCTTCTTTTCACGTCTTCGCAGCTTGGAAAAAACTCAGCATAAAGCCAACAAAATCCCATCCCCCTAATATTAAATACCCCCATTCACGAAGCCATGGTTTGGTATGGGATTTCTTCATTTCACGGAGTGAAAAGGGGTGTATTCAATATGGCACGGGGGCCCCGGGGTTGAAACATCTACCACTCCTCAAGGACTTGCGCTGATGTCAAGCACTTGATCTGGGAGCACAACCTGATCCATCAGGTAATATCCGGCATCAAATCCTCTCCACATTTGAGAAGCCTTTCGGCTATCCCAAAGTTCGCGAAGAAGACTTGGGAACTTGAAACTTGACACTGCATCGAATTTTGAAATGTACAGACTGTACAGACTGAGTTTTGCTGCGATCTTCTTGAAAGTCATACTTTAAATCCGGGGTTTGTCTTAGAATCGGAGCTTCAAAAAGTCCTATACTTTATCCTCCGACGGCTGAGACAAACCCAAGGCAAAACGGCTTGAGACAAACCCAAGGCAAAACTCTCACAGGCTGACCATGTCTCCATAGCATTTCAGCACCAGCTGCTCTGCTGATTGCTGCCTTGTCAGCCTCCTGGTCTCAATTGTCTTGTCCTTTTCATCCTCAAAGTCCTCGACGCGAAGTTCATCGATCCTAAGCGGATCGATGGGTGGCCACGGATCGATGATGGGAGAATTTGGTGGCCCGAAATCACTAATGAAGCCTCAAACTTGGTCATGTTCAGTACCAAATCAGGGTTCAGTAATGTGGCGCCATACCCAATTCAAACCCACCTCAACCAGCTGAGGTGAACAGGTCTCTTGCTTCAGATTGAAGTTAGGAGAAGGGTCTTCCCCCAGGGCGACTACCTAACTCATCTAACTAATCTTCCCAAGCATCACATCTGCGAAGTAGTTGGGCTGCTCTGCCACAGCCACAAGAAAGCTCTGCAGCCGTTCAGGATGCTTCTGCGCCCGCATCTCCCACGTCTCGTCGGGCCCCGGCAGCATGGCCAGCATGGCAAGGGCACTGCGAGCACTGCGAGCTGGTTTGAGACTCATTAAAATGTCTGTGGTGTTTGATCAGAGCAAATAGATATATAAATAGGAACAGCAAAGATTGGTAAGCCAAGGATTAGCAAAGAGGTGGCCACAAAGATAGAACAGTCCGGTTTTTTGCGATGTTGCTTTAAAACATTTAAAAACAGTATTTTCACATATAATCGGTTTATATTAATACTCTTTGATATTTCTTATTGAGGATACAATATCGATGGCAATGTGCCGACATGTCCCGATTCTTGGACACACGCTGGATCTGCAAATATCAGCTGGTTATGGGTAAAATCCCCAAACCAGTCAATATTTCACCGGGAAATGATGAATGATACCCTCTGGTTATGACTAACAGTTCGCCATGGTATAGCCCTAATCGAAATAGATGGTTTACCGTTTTTAAAAATGGTGGATCTTTCCATGGCAAACTGTTAGTGATAACCAGATGGTAACCACTATTAACCATCATTAATCACTATTAACCACTATCAACATCTATTAACCACTATTAAAAATGGTGATTTTCCATGGCTATGTTAGTCATAAGTCATAACCAGATCACGGTAAATCAATGGATTTATTGGGTCCTCTTCGGTGTAGGTCTCATCGAACAGGAAAGCATCAGGCTCCTGGGGTCCCAGTCTCGGGCCGTGGTGGATACTGCAGAATGGGTTCATTTGGAAAGCAGGATAAATCATGTTATATCATGTTATATCATTGTTGCGAAGTATCTGAAAAAATTTAGTCAAACATCTAATTTAATTTGGATTTCAATGGATTTCAGGATCCCAAATCTTGAGATCAAATAGATATTTGTATAGGACTATGTTGACTTTCTATCGCTTGGCCATTGGGAAATTCATGGGGACGACTGGGTCGCGACTCCAAGGATGATCATCTTCGGGTCTCCCGGATGTGCAACGGCTACCATGAAAAATGTTTCAGTACTGTGGTACCATCCATTTGTATATATATATAATTATATATATATGTATGTATTTTTAACATATATCATATATCATATATAGCACACATCCATAAGTGTATGGAGAGACCTGTATTTCACAAGGGTTTTTTTCCACTTGCCACAGCCTCCGCCACGAGTTGGGCCAAGGTGATGATTTTGTCAAAGTCCTCCCAGTCCAGCTCGAGAGGCGCGGAGCGGCGTGGAATCTTTCAGGATGACTAGCGAAAGATGATCACTTCCCATGGGCGAAAGTGACATGTTCGAAAACAGCATTCCAATATATTCCAATGCTTGCAGTGCTTAGATATTTGATATGTCAAGTCCCCCTGTTTCATTGGCTTTGTTTAAGGGCATAGCTACAGGAAACCCAGTGTGTTTACAGTATCCCAAAATATAGGGGGTTCTGGTTGCAATTTGCTCGTCCAATTCTTGGAATGCTTGCTGGTTACACCTCCAACATGACGTGATGTCCTTCACATCCGCACGGCCTCAGTCGGAGATCCATGTGACCGCGGACCAAGCTGACAGGAACGCAAGACCATTTCAATGATGCCTGAACATTATTTGGTGGAAATTGGCACACACACACAAACAGCCACATTTTGTGCACATATATATATATATACGCATATGTGTTGATAAAATACAACATTTGAGTATAATACATACATACACAATCACACACACACATATATATATATATACATATATTTACGTATTTATTTTTGAAATGGAACTTCCCTCAACTGATGACACAGTCGATACTCAAAACATATTCAACAGACCTTCAAGCAACCGCCAACTGACGCATGAGGCACCACCTGGATCCGATCTGGGTGACGGACGGATGTCAAATGCCATTGCCAGATATTGCCAGTGCGCAGCGGGATTGCTTCAAATGTTGCTTAGATGAGGTGAGCAAGTATATCCCCCATATAAATATGGGATAATGATGGGATACTGATGGGGATAATGACTGAGCTCGTGACATTATCGGTGCATGTCTTGTCTGCCTTTGAGGGGACAAAAGTATGGATCTATCGCCAAGTATCGCCATGACAGATTCTTTGTGCCTTTTAAACGGCTCAAATCTGCTCAACCTGCTAAGGCCTGGAAAGATTTGAATGGCCTGGCGGCTGGAAACAGCTGCGGTGGGAACTGAGTTCAGCTAGGCAGTCCCAGGTTGTTTGGCTCGCCTCAACACATCCCAAAAAGGTATCCGTCAATTGGAATACTCATCCCATTGACGGGGATGTGCAATGAACACTGTTCGAAGTTTCCAACCAGTTGGATTGGTCATACATATACTGTATATATATATATATACAAACAAATGTATACATACGTGCACACACAGAATATACGTGTATATATATATATACATGATGTGTATATATATATATATGTATGTAAGTATGTATGTATGTATGTATGTATGTATGTATGTTGGTATGGTATTGTATGGTATGGTATGGTATGTTATGGTATGGTATGTTATGGTATGGTATGTATGTATGGTATGTATGTATGGTATGGTATGGTATGGTATGGTATGGTATGTATGTATGTATGTTATGGTATGTATGGTATGTATGATATGCATGGTATGTATGGTATGTATGGTATGCATGGTATGTATGGTATGTATGTATGGATTGATGCATGCATGCATGTATGCATGTATGCATGTATGCATGCATGCATGTATGCATGCATGTATGTATCCCCATTCTTAAAACCAAGCCAAATCTATAACCCCCCATCTTTTCAGGCAATTTTCCAAACATTCCCCCAAGTTTGTTGGATAAACCACTCACAGACCATGCTACTGCCTTGCAGGTCTCTTTTTGTTGACCCTTGCTAAATGTGTCTCTGAATCCACCATCGGCCGAGCGATGCATGCGATGCCTTCTTTGCGGCCTTCGATTTACAGAAATCCAAAGCCCCTGTTCTTGCCCAGATTACGGTGGTTACAATCCCTGATAGATAGATATAGATATATGTGTGTGTGATCTTGAATCAACTCAAATAAGGGAGAATTGAAAGCACCAACCAGTTTCAATCGCAATCGTCCTTGAGTAGCTTGTGATAGATGGTGGCGGATGCAATAAATAAATATAAATAAATATATATATATATGTATGTATATTTATATGTGTATGCACATATATATATATAAATGCAATATAAGTGAACATTATACCCCCCCCCTTACCACCCAAAGTTGTCCATGTTTACATGGAGTTTCCCTTTCTTCAAGATTTTGCACTCGATTGGCCATGGCAAACATGTGGCAAAATCATTGTGCCATATGTTGCCTAATAAGTTTGTCCTTTATGAGCTCACATATCCTAAGCACAATGGTACTAACATTTCTAACATATAGTAACTATATGTAACTATAATTCTTTATATAGGTCATAGGTTTTCTATGGTTTTCTCCTCAAGCCATCCAGGTAGGAACTGAGGGGCGTCTTCAGTGCGCAGCCCCGCTAGTCTTCCAGCCCCTTCTTGGAGGAGTCGACGATACAAATCTCGTTGTCCTCCACAAACCTGTCCCCCAATAGCTGGATGGTCATGGAAAATCCTATGGAACATGGATATCGAACAAAAAATAATGTAAAATCCTATGGACATGTGGTTTAGTAAGTATGGAAAATCCCAAACAACAATGGATGATTTTAGGGCTACCCCCATGACTTAGGAAACCTCCAACCGGCTGTGAGTTGATTTCGATTTTCAAACATCAATCAGTGGATGTTATTCAAAGCTCTTACCCTCTGGTAAATTAACATAGCTATGGGAAATCACGATTTTTAATGGGAAAATCCACTATTCACTATTAATGGCCATTTTTCAATAGCTATGTTAAATTACCAGAGGGTAGCTTTCGGAGCCACAATCTTGATCAATTGAGGTCAACTGATGTCAATTGATGTCGCTCAGCCGCACTTGGGTTCCCCAACTCTTGCCCATCCAAGCGCAGCCAAAGACCGTCCACCTGGCACAGGGGAGCTGCGTTTCATCTAGAAATGTCTTTTTCATTGTAAAGATCATCGTCATTCTCATCATCACCATTGCTGTTACCTGCTCTTTCTATCCCCAACAGGAGTATACAAAGACACCGGCAGTCTGCAATGCTATTGATATGTTTCAAACAGAATACGTTGGACATCCTCAAGCAAACCATCACCTGGGCGCCCAACTATTGTTGTCGGGTTTCTCTTCCCTCATCTCTCCCCTGACTCTTAGAGAAGACATCCATAAATAATCATAAATATATATATATATATATGTATTACTGTAACATGTTGGTATTAGACACAATTAATTAGAGAGCCCAAACCATGCGCTTGGGATGGCCCGGGTGTCCCGGGACGGACCGCGGACCCCGAATCTTGGGAAACGCCCGCACTTGTTGCCGAAATGAGCAATCTCGGGGCCGCGCCACGTCGCTTAAAAAGGACGTCAACCAATTTGGGAAGGTTGGTTCGCTTACCACACGTTTGTGCGAAAATGATGTATGGCATATGGCAAATTTGGATAAATTTGGGGGGTGTCACTATGTACACATATATGACAGAACTCATAACCTTAAAAAAGGGCATCGCTATTTAAAGACGGTCCCATCGCTTAACTCATGTGTGTACAATTTCTGAAAACAAGTGTAATCCCCTAGCTCTGACAGTAAACAACGCACAAAAACATCAAGAAACCTTGTGCAATATATGGTGCATTGTACTGGCTCTGTTGATGTGTAAAGGGGAGGCCAAGTTTTGGGTGACTTTACTGTACTATGATTGGGATGGGATGAAACCTACATACATAATGTCCTCAGTTCTGAAGGCTAACAACACCGTTTGTGCTCCTAACCGTCCCCACTTCAAATGGTCAATACACTCAACCAAGAGGGGTCGGCTGGGATGTGTAGTATTAAATATATTATATATTATCAAATGGGAAAGGGATGGAAAGGGGATGAAGCAAGGTACACCTCTGAAAACTAATCTAGACATCAACAATTACCATTTCCAAGCGCAGAAAAATGCCATTTCCATCATCCTCCAAATCCCGTGGTTTTTTTGGTTCCCTGGTAGTTTCTGGTCTCGGCTTTCGCCTGGATTTTTTTTTTCCGAAGGTTACATCCTCATGATGTTTCATGGTTTAACGGTCGAACCTTGATTCTTCATGCGGATAGATCCACAGCTTCTAAAGGTGACCAAATCCTGACATTTTTACGGATAGATCCTGATATTTTCATGATTTTTCCCCACCTGCCAGGTGAGGGTTGTTAGATTTTATGTCGGTTGCCTCCTCCTCCTCCTTCTCCTCCTTCTCCTCCTCCTCCTCCTTCTCCTCCTCCTCCTCCGCCTCCTCCTGCCTCGTCCTCCTCTCCTCCTCCTCCTCGTCCTCCTTGTCATCCTTGTTGTCCTTGTCGTCCTCGTCGTCCTCGTCGTCCTTGCTCAACTGCGACCCGCGATCCACAGTGTTCTCTGCCGGACCTCAACCACGACCATCCACGCCCAGTGTTCCCTGCCGGACCTCAACCACGACCATCCTCGCCCAGTGTTCCCTGCCGGACCTCAACCCCGACCATCCACGCCCAGTGTTCCCTGCCGGACCTCAACCGCGAGTATCCACGCCAAGTGTTCCCTGCCGGACCTCATGTAGGAAGATATGGGACAAAGAATGCGCAGAAGAAAGTTAGAAAGAATGTCAGAAAGAATGTCAGAAGATATGCCAGAAGATATGCCAGAAGATATGCCAGATAGAATGCCAGATAATATGCCAGAAGATATGCCAGATAGAATGCCAGAAGATTTGCCAGATAGAATGCCAGAAGATATGCCAGAAGATATGCCAGATCATATGCCAGAAGATATGCCAGATAAAATGTCAAATAGAATGTCAGAAGATATGTCAGATAGAATGCCAGAAGATTTGCCAGTAAGAAAATGTATAAATGTCATGGTGGGGATCACACGAAGTAAAGTAATTAATAGTTCAATAGTGTGAAATCACCACTATTGTTCATGGTAAATCATGGTAAATCGCAATTCTTGATAATTATTGAATACTGTCAAAAACCCAAAAAGCCGCAGCCTGGTGAGGCATCAAGCCGCCATGTGAGGTGCCCCTTGGTACGTCAAGCCGCGCACAAATGTGGAAACGCACGTGGGGATTGGCTGATGAACGCTGGTGCTTTTAGTAATTTCATGTAATTTCCCAAGTTCATTCAAATTCCCAAGATTTTAAGAATAACAAGTTTAGGATTTGCCTGAACGTTTGTTGTTGTTATTTTTTTGATGAGCAAATGGTGACAATGACTCAAACAACCTGGAAACTTAGGGGGTTTGTCCTGGCATGTAAGGACCAGGTGGAAGTGGCTTGATGAATTGATGAAGATTTCCAAAGCTGGATTTGGGTACAGGTGCTGGAAAACATTGCCTAGACATGCATGGCATCAGATGGTGAAACAAACACGGATAGATAAACACCAACTTTTCCGATGGATTAACTAATTGTCAGATTATTCACATTTATCCAAAACCATCCGCAAACCAATTTTATTGTTTTCCCAGACTATCCTGAAAAGCATGTCCTTTTCCATTGGGATGATTTGGCCAAGGGGTGGCTTTGCCATGAGCAGATTTCTCAGAGGATTTCACCACGGAAGTGGCTACAATGCGTTGGGTTTTTTTTAAACACTGGAATGTGGCCTAGATTCTATCGTCGTATGTGGCTATAAACCTGCATCTTTGCATGAATGGAACCGACACTTTCTTGTTGAAATTCCAGCCGTTGAACTTACCAACCACTACCAAAAAGTTCTCAGGCCTGCAGGGCCTGCAGGCTGTCAGAAACGTACAACCAGCGCATGATCTGTATGATCGGTCATACAACCACTACTTTGCCAGTCACCACCACAAGCTGCCCCCGGCTGCAACCACTCCAAGGGGCGAGTAGATCACTCCACGCGCGCATTCAAAGTTCTTTCGCTTGGCTCCACCACCACCAATGATCCACAAACCATTGGTACCTGCCAGGGTGCGCCCCTCAAGAAAACCTTTCATGATCGCTGGGGAGCAAAGTTGAAGGCCCCGCGCCTGAGTAGAGCCAGAACTTACCGCCCATCTGCTTCCACAGTGGCTGGCTATTCGCCGATTCACCCGAAACCAGGAGATACTCACCTTCCGAAGAGCTGAAAATAGCTGAAATCCAAGGCATGGGGGGCCAGCCATGGATAACAAACCGTCATGGAAGGAATTCGGGTCAAGATTTGGGGTCGATCAGTGGGGATCTTCAACTCAACAGCATCTTCCACTGCAACAGTTCGGTAGGTTTTTGGCCATTCCACGCGGGGCGCAACTGTTCTTGCCACCGATACCACAGAAACTCGGTCCAATCAACTTGGACTCCAAAGGCTTCACTCGGATGTGTTTCCCAATCAACAAGTGGTTCTTAACCCACCTTCATGTGCATGTGCTATTCCATATTATTCCTGGATATTCCTGGTGCTGGTGCTTATTAATATCCCCATTCAAAGCTGCTTCAGGTGCAGCTAAACTCAACTTCTGTTTCCAAAATCATGCCAAAAACCAAGGTGCGGAACGACATACCACTTGGAATATATATATATATGGAATATCTTGGCATCCGCATCCAAAATTCCCTATTGAACAACTGGCGACCACCATCTACCACCGGGTCCTCCCAGCCTCCACATTTCTGCTGCCCGTTGGGCGAAGACACGTGCAGCTTGGCGGGAAATGAAATGGAGGAGGTCAAGGATACCTGGCAGAAAGGGGAAATGACTAGCTCTGGTGTATTGTGGTGATTCATGATTAATAGTTATGATGGATGCCGATTAATGGTGTATATGCATAGATAGATAGATAGAGATAGAGATAGAGATAGAGATAGAGATGATATAGAGATATAGATATAGATATAGATAGATAGATAGGTAGATAGATAGATAGAGATAGATAGAGATAGAGATAGAGATAGAGATAGAGATGATATAGAGATATAGATATAGATATAGATAGATAGATAGGTAGATAGATAGATAGAGATAGATAGAGATAGAGATAGAGATAGATAGATAGATAGATAGATAGGCAGAGATATAGATAGAAAGATAGATGGATGGATAGATAGATAGGTAGGTAGAGATATAGATAGAAAGATAGATGGATGGATAGATAGATAGGTAGGTAGATAGATAGATAGGATAGATAAGATAGATAGGATAGATAGGATAGATAGGATAGATAGGATGGATAGGATGGATAGATAGATAGATATAGATAGATATAGATAGATAGATATAGATAGATATAGATAGATATTGATATAGATATAGATATAGATATAGATAGATAGATGGATGGATAGATAGATGGATGGATAGATAGATAGATATATCACTAATAATGATTGATAGTGGTGAAGGATGAATTATCGTCAAATGAATTATATACATAGTTATTGAGCTATATCATCAATACCATGTGGAGGCATCATGGTATATATATATATATATTATATCACTAATAATGATGAATAGGGAATAGTGGTGAATAATTGTTATTGTTGGTGATTCATGATGATTAATGGTGATTATGTTGCGGTGTCATCAAACGTGGCAAGCTGGTAAATATCCTATAATTGGTGGTTTCGGGCTGGGAAAATCAACCAAAAACGGTGAATCATCCATTGCCATGTTTGATTACCAAAGGGTATATATATGTGTGTGTGTGTATGTATAAATTGGTGATATATATTTTGGATATAGTGGGGATATAATGGCGCACACACACACACATATATATATATATTATAATTATATAATAATTAACTATATAACTATACTATATACTACATTGATATATAATTATTCATAATATAACTTATAACTGATGATCCTAGGTACCAGTACGGTTGAACATAGAAACTTTGAGAAGTGGCCAGCCAAATTACCACGTTGGATTCCCAGAGCGGGACCGCACAGCGTAGCACACCCTGTGTTGGCACCGTCCAAGGTGAGGGGCTCCGACCATCCATGGATGGAATTTATATATGGACCCCTTGGCTGCCTTGGCTGATGGGACCCCCATTCCCATACTACTCCCATACTATCCCATACTATCCCATACTACTACCATGTTCGAAACCCAATAGTATGGAACGATTATGGAAATGGATGGAAATGGGGCTCCATGGGGGTCCCATCAGCCAGGGGGGGTCCTATAAATTCTATTGAAATTTAGGGGACTCCAGCCAGTAGTTAGTAGTCGTTGCTTCTGCCCATGGCCTTGATATATTTGTCCTCACGGAGCAGCAACCGTCACTAGTTGGCCAAAGAGGTGTCAAAACCTATGATTTGATTGGCCATGTGTTTCAAGAACCATGGTTCAGAATTCCTGTAAGAGTTTGAATTAGATACCGTTCGTTGGTAGGTTTTGATGGCCAAGCTCGGATGATGCAGCTAACCTTGAGCAGTTTAGGATGTTCCTCCATTTCTTTACAACCCATCAAACTGATCACATCTGATGATCAAACCAAGGTTTACTCGGCTTTGACATTGTCATAAGTCAGATTCTCTCCAAATATCACCGGTGTTCTGGCTCCTCAATCATCTCTTCCCCTTCTTGACGTGACCAAATCAGCATCTGCACGAGTGGCGAGCTGGGTGAGTAGAAGGTCAACCCTTCGGGGTCGGGGAAAGGCCCTGACAGTTGGGGTGAGGCTTCACTGGGGAAGCCTTCAGTGAAGGTTTCTTTTCAAAGCAGCCCGGTTGCCAGTGAAGTGATGTGAAATGAACAAAACTGGCACATGCTGAAACAATCCAAACAGTCTTGCACCAAAAAAGGCACCCAGCTTAGCTGCCTCTAAATCTACCCCTTACCCATCTCTTCACCCCCCCTCCATCAGCTTTTTTGCTCCAAGCCGGCGCGCCGGCGCTATCTCTCCTTGCTGGGGACCCCCAGCGCCCCTTCCAGCCACAACTGCATCTGCACAAAGTAACAGGCAGCAGCTGCACGGTCCAGGGGCCCATGGATCTCCAGAATGGCGGGAGCTGCAGTGGTGGCTTCCAGAGCAAACAGCTTCACCTGCGCCTTGCTGGCAATACCACTGGCTTCACTGGCCTGAGTTGAGACTTGAACAACTGCGAGCGTAGTGGGCACTTTACCATTTTGGAAATCTTGAAGTGCAAAACATATTGGTTGAATAACAAATGTCCTGTGTCTTAAGGAACATGTTAGCTGGAACTCCACAGTTTGAAGGCCTCGGGATTTTCGGGTCAAAGACAAGTTCAAAAGCCCATCAGAACACCACTGGGGAGAACTACGCGAGCTGGAAAATTACCACACATGCAGGTCTAAGGTACTTCGACCTATTCAAATCGGGATCAGAATGACCTGTCCCCACCGTGACTTCGCTATCACTTTCTACTGTACACTGTGCCCTCGCAAACGAATGTCCCAAGAACTAGCTGATTCTACCAAGTTTTAATGGAATATAAATAATCATATATAATATATAATTATATATAAAAAAATAATAAATTAATATACATCATTATACATCTCGACGATTATTGGCGAACCTTCATGACACACAGCTTCGCTTCTCCAAGAGGCTAAATAACTTGCCGTTCTGAAGTCCCGCAGCACCAGCTTCAACGGGACAGCCCCAGCATTCATCGCTGGCACCGGTCGCGGCGTCTGCGCCACCGGTGGGGACGGGGACTGAAGTGGTGCGGATTGAAGCGGCACAGGAGGTTCGGGACTTCCTGATGGAAGGAGGTCAGTCAAGCTTTCAGACCCCGGGAATGGAAAAGGAGACTTGGTCTCTGTTAGCTAAGCCATGCTAAGCCCCATCCAATTTTTGGAGGCATCCAAGTCTGACCCATGGGCCCCATGGTATTTTGCTAAAATCAAGGGTTGTTTAACAGTGAATTTAACTTCTTAATCAGAAAAAAACTTCCTGAAGCAAATGGCAGGAACTTGTCGCAGAAACGCTCTCCACCTGGCGTTGCACCGGTGTTGCCGGTGAGATGAGCGGTGCCTGCGGTGCCTGCGGTGCCTGCGGTGCCTGCGCAGCACCTGGTGGTCCTGGAAACCAGGGAGGAAACGCACTCTGCCATCCACACTTGTTGGGGCCCTGGGGGATTGCTGATCTGATTATATTCCTCATTCCTCAGCTACTCCAGGTGACTAAGTGACTAGATCATCTATTGACATCTGTTTACCACCATTCGGCTGGCAAAATCCAACTTTTGGCGGCGAAGACAATGCCATGTGGTTGCTTAACATTCACAAATGCCACCAAAAACAAGCATCTGGGTTGCTGGTTCAAACCCACAAAAATGTTTCAATCATTTTAAGTCCCACGAACATTGTGAAATGCCACGATCTTTGAAAGGCGGTTGACACTCCCCTGTTTATAGTTTGGTTGCACCATATCACTAACACCAAAAAACAACGTCTGGTGGTTCAATCTCAAAAAGGCCATAAAAAACTTATCCCCATAAAATCTGGCTCAGCTCATGGTTCAATTGAAGTTCACGCTTTTTAGGTCACCCCAAATAGCGGTGTATCCAATAATAAACCTCTAATTATTGGGGATGGTTTATTATAGTGATCCGATATGTTTCTTTATTATCGCACTAGTATCCTCTATTATTGGGTTTCCCACATTGCTCAGCAGAAACATACTATTCTCCCACACCCTGGTCTACATCATCTACATCCGTATCCCACTATCATCCTCTATTCTTGGCTTATTGATATCCCATCATCAGAAAATCAACAGAAACTCTGTATCCCATACCCTCTGGTAAACTAACATAGCTATTGAAAATGGTCATTGATAGTGAGTTTTCCCATTAAACATGGTGATTTTCCACATAGCCATAGTTTTTTTTTGTATGTTTACCAGAGGGTAATTCTCCCAGAATTCTCCCAGAAAATCACATATAGTGAGTTTTCCCATTAGAAATTGTGATTTTCCATAGTTTGTTGTATGTTTACCAGAGAATCATCAACAACTCCATCCGCAGTCCTTTGGCCTTTCCTTTGCCACGGCCCTTGGGCCGTTCGTCGCCTTCCTCCTCCACCCGCGGTGGCGGCTCCGCGATCTCCCAGGGTTCCAGGGCGCGGTGGAGGCGCCAGCCGCACAACGCCACGGCCTCCTCAGGGCCCTCCAAACTGATGGCCTTGGGACAGATTGGGGCCTTTTTTTGGTGACATAGGGCAAAACTGATCAAAACCCTTTGAATATATATATATACATATGATTATATATATATATTTATGTAGTTTCAGTTTCACTCAATGGATAATAGAGAATAATTGATGATCATTGGTCAAAGGATGTCTCAGGTTGGAGGGGCAAGAATCACACGTCTTGGTGATGAACTCCGGGATATGAAGGCGCATACCGGAGACTCGATGTTTAGACACTGATGGGATCTGACGGGTATGTATCCAATGAACAGGGGACTACGAGACCATTTTCGCGGAGTTTGGAAGCCCCCAATGTTTTCTGTGCCGTCAGACTTGCAGGATGACTCATTTTGTTGGTGCTGTTCTCCAGCGTCTACAGTTAAAAGTATGGGAATCGCAGGCATGCAACTCCAAACCATCCATAAACATTCCAAAACTATGACTAACATTGACTAATTTTGAATGCTAAATGCAGGAAAGACATGGACGCTCTGGAACAAGCAAATCAGAGCGCCATTGAAAGAAGAAAGTGCTAGTCTTTGAAACCAGCAATAACAATAATAGTAACAATAATAATAATAGTGTCAATGATAATAAGAATCATCATTCTCATCGTCTTTAAAACTGACAGGTCAGCAAAGATTTACACACGTCCAATATACCCCCTTGCCCCCTTGTTTTCTGCCACTACCACACACCATCACATGCCGGTTGGTAGGTTCCACACTTTTTGGACAACCCGACTTACACCCAAACACCCAACTTGGTGGCACGTGTTCGGCTTTGGCAGGTGGCTCTCAATGAGGCTGGCTGGCCAAACACTACCTGGCAGCAATGTTTCAGCATCGGATTTTGGTTGGAAATTCGGATGTAGTGAATGTGTTCACTGATCAAATCGGATTAAGTGACAGCCTGCATTCCAGGGGTTTGCCCTTCATGTATATCTGAGTCATGCCTTAGGCCTCAGGTTGCTTAGAGGGATCACTGTTGCTGGGGGCAGGGAATCATCAAAACTGGGAGGTTGTCTTCCCATTGTTCAACATAGGATGATATAGTATCATATAATATAATATAAAGAGAATATGATATAATATAGGCGCTGTTGACATCCCCATTCCTATGACAGTCTATATAGACAGCATAGACTACCTACTGTGGTGCGTATTGTATCTGTATGTCTGTCACTACCTGTCTAGTTATCATATCTATCTAGCAATGCATGCCCGGCTGCGCGTACACACCTCGGTGCAAAGAGTATATAGTTTTCTGTTTGCAGCCATTCTGGTTTATCACGTTTGACCCAACCCAGCAAAATCATGGTCCCATATACTTCCATGCGCTTCCTTTAATATAGTAACTCCAAATAGATCCAAATAGATAGAACAAGTGGAAACATGGAGATTATACACAAGATTATGTCACCTACAATTTCCTGAAACTATATCAATGATTAGGGTTTGTCTGGAAAATTAAGTATTCCAAAATCAAATGGTCCCGGCAAAGCTGCGATCAATTGGGATATCCATATTATCTATCGTATCTAAATCTATCTCGTTCATTCTCATTCTATCTCTAAGATATATTAAGATATCTTATCCTTCCATCCTCACCCATACCTAGCCTAGCCTGTGGCTCCTGTACCTCAATCTTCACCTCCGGAAAGGTGCTCTGCTCCGTTTGCAGCGCTGGGTCCAGTTCGCTCCACCGCTCGGCAGGGAACAGCAACCGCACCTGGTACGGATTTTTTCGTGGAAGGTGTGGAAGCAGAATGTCTACCACAGCAGTACCAGTTTCATCCAGATTCATCATGTCTCAGCTAGATTTACTTGCATAAGAATCATAAGATTTACTTGATTTCTACTTGAAGATTCTCTTGCTTCTTATATCTTCTCATTGTTCCTTGAAGAGCTGGGCTCCCCCAAATTCAATTTCAGCCTGCACTTGTCTCATCCCTTCCGCAGCATCGCCACCGCCCACAGGTTCGCCCGTGACGCTCTCCTCCCGGGCAATGGCCGCGTTGCGCGTCGCCAAATCGCCCAAGATCAATCTTAAGGCCTTGGTGCGTTGCTGTGTTTTCCATGGCAACAGCCAATTCACGTGGAAAAAATGTGAAGAACTGGCAGGAAAACCATGATCCAAAACCAGGCCGACTGTCAAGGTGACCGTCCAAAACCACTGCCACACTACCTTGTTCCATTGTTCCATTTACTGTTTGAAAAAATCCGTGGATTTCACCGACACCGGCAGGGCTAAGCGGTGGTGACTTTCCTGCTTGCTTCGTTGGGGTAAAAACATGTTGGATTCATATTCTATAATCCCCACTAAGTACGTAGTAAAACTCAGTAATTACAACATAATTATAATCTGGTTGGTGGTTTTAACCATCTTGAAAAATATTAGGCAATGGGAAGGATTATCCCATATATTATGGAAAATAAAAGCCATGTTTGAAACCACCAACCAGTAACAGTATGACCATCAACCACCACCAGGTCCAATCCCTTGCCACCGGAATTCCCGAAGCCGTTGCGCGAGTGTTGCCTGGTGTGTAGAATTCAGCAACCCACTAGGGCCAACATCTACCAGAGCGATAGTACTGGCTGGTAGGACACAACCCAAAACTGCCTACGATCTGACCGGATTGCACTATGGTATAGATATGTATGGATCACGTTTACATGCTTCTAATCCCTTCCCCCTATTACTAAACCCTCACCAAATAATAAAAACTAGGGTCTGTCTCCAATTTTGGAAAATTTGAGGTTGGCCAATTTGATTCTCATTTGATCCTCTTTAGAAAACAGTTTAAAAATGAAGCTACCATTTCAGGGTTTCACCCCCTAATATTAAAAACTAGTCAACCCCGGGGTGTTTTAAACAAGAATTGTATTTGATATTAAAGTTTTTAATTTAATATTAGGGGAAAGGTTCGAAATCCAATTTTTGGCACTTTTTTAATTGTATTTTGAAATAAAACAAAATAGTTTCTTAGATGAGGGTTTAAAATTTAGTATTAGGGGGAACATGGGGGAACCCTAATAGCAACTACCCCCTAATAATTCCTAATAATAAAAACATATAAAAACTACCTGAGGTGTTTATTATTTGGGGGTGGGTTTTGTATTCGAGGAAGGGGTTACTAGCAATTGAAAAATGCCACAGGCCCCCCAGTACAACAATGATAATTTCGCCGACTTTTCCACACATCAGTATGGATGCTTCTGAGTCTCAAATCCTTGTGGTGATTTCAGGTCCATCTCTGCATTCAAAGATATTCAAAGCGTGATTTCCCAGCAGCAAAATCTTAAATCCCCCAAAGTGTCATCATCTTCCATCAAATTTCATCCATTTTCAGTGGCCAAAGATCTCCAAATAGGCCCTCCACGCTGCCACGCCTTGGCGGCTGAGCAGATTCGCTCAGTTTCATCGAAGGGCGGGTTCTCAGCATCATCGATGGATACCAAGGCTAAATCCCTCAAACGCGCCACCTGGATCTGAGACTTCTGGTCACCCGGGATCACCCTTCAAACACTTTCTCAGGGACCATCAATGGAACATGTCCAAATATTGATCTTTTAAACCCCCAATCGCAGTAGATTGAATATTGGATGAGGAATGCCGGAATGCCCATATGATGCTGGTTGAACTTCTCTTATGCCCCTTCAAACCCCCGTTGGCAACCATTCTCACCACGGGTGTTGACCCCCAAATGCCAGCCGCCAACCGGAAAAAAAATAATTTTGGATTATCTGGCTGAATTATAGTTTTCCACGTCTCCTAACCATGATTCCAGTGACGTGACGACGTGAGGTCATGATCAAATAGTTATACTACAGTATACATCCCTATGATATCTTGATATTTGATTATATTCTAAAACCACATTAATTATTACACTTACCAGTATTATATCAATTTATTATCATTGATTATCCACTTATTGTACACTTATTATATCTTATTGTATCATATCATCCCATTGTCAGTTGGATCTCCCAACTTTCCTTGGCTCCGAACTCCGATTGATCCAGGCACGTTGGCTCCTAACTTTCCGACCACCGTCGCAGCTTCACCCTGCGCCAGCAGTACGCGCAAGGGCACTTCGCCCTTTCCTCATCGGATCCGTGGCAGGTGCAGCGATAGAAACAGTAGAAACCAAGGACCCTAGTATAACACCGACGACTTCCTCACACAAAATGGTGAAGTTCCAACAAAACGAATCTCGGGAACATCTATATGTTTTTTTGGGGGAACAACAAGGGTCAAAGATGAATGCCTTTAAATCATCAAGCGCATCAAGAAGCAGAACACATGTCTGAATCAATTTGGAGTGCTGGCTTCCTGTGGAGGAACATGAGAGATGCCAAACTACAATTTGACATCAAAAGGCCATCATGCCAACAGTTAAAAGCAAGTGGGCCTAATCAAACTACCCACCTTTCTAAAATGGCGATTTTCCACGGCAACATAAAAACGATAATATTGTTTTTGAAAAAGGGAACAGGGCACTTTTGGTTAAACAATTGCCAATATTCTGCCGATGAATGTTGAGGTTTTGCTATCAGCTGGGCTGCAAACTTGTAAAATCCCTACAGCATCCTACAGCCATTTTTTTGGATGGGTTAATTCCCATTTTTCAGTTGGCGAATCCCATTTTTCGGTTGGTCATGCCCATGATTATCAGCGATTTGACTGGCAAACCCCATCTTTTGGTTGGACAACCCACTTTTTTGTTGGCTCGTTGCATCCACCATAAAATAACCCCCATCATCCACGACTTCACCGAGTCTCCGATGGCTTCCGCTTCCATCTTGGCTCGGTTCATGGCAGCTTCCGCTTCGCTGGGCAGCGCTTCCCGCAGCTCGAAATGCTCCGAGCTGAGGACCTTTTTGGTGAAGATCGTGCGGCAGGGGGTGGGGCCAACTTGGTCAACTTGTACCCCCCCAAAAGTCCCAACAAATGGATGGTTTTTACAAGGGTTTAACATGAAACACTGGTCAAAACTATATAAAACTATAGGATACCTCCACTTTGCAGCTGGGGAAAACCTCCACGAAAAATGTGTTGGAACTCACACATCGGATCATATACATTATTAGTATATTCACATACACACATATATATATATGTAAATACACATACAGGTGCTATAGAGGTCTAATTTTTTATTTTACTTTTGACGAGAAAAAACATACCCCTGATGTCTTACCCCTGGGTACCCCGGGAAACCATCCATGACTCGCCTCGGCTGCCACCAACTCCTTGAGGGTCCCCTGCAGTCGCCATAGGGCCGCCTCGATGGGGTTCCGATCTTTGGCCAAGAGCTTCACCTTATGGCCGAGGGGGCGACGCCGACGATTTTTGACGGGCTGTATGACCCAACATGATTTACCTGGACCTGTACTATACTTATACACAGCTAGGTGCAGAACCATTGCGGTGCTGAAATTATGGATTGAATTGGACTTCCGAAGTTGGCGCTTCTTGTTTGATGCCTGAAATCCAATGACTCCACACTGTGGAAACGCGAGCAAAATCGCTACCAACATGTTTTCACTTCAAATGCTGAATGAATTCTGTTTGAAAACGCATGCTGGCCAGAAAGTGTCGATCTTTGGCCGACCTGTGAAATTAGGATCGGCAGGCTGGTCCAACTGATAACATGGCCTGTTCATCAGCTCTCACGAAAAAACTCAAAGCACCCCAGGATCGTCTTCAAACTCCTTTCCTCCTTAAAGTGCTTGTTGCCTCGGCCGCAAGCCATCCTTGTCTCCGCATTTTTCCCCGTCCCTGGAGACCCCGTGGCCCCTGCCACCGGGTGACGCGTTTGTGTCCCGCGATCCCCGCCAGCGGCTCCCGTGAGACCTGGACCTCGCAGCCCAGCTCCTCGATGATGGCGCGGATGCGCTCGCCACCTTGACCCACGATGCCACCGCCTGCGACGACACATGTTGGGAATCTTGGGGTGGTTACGGTGTACATATGTTATATGTATATATATATATATATGTAATATATATATATATATGTATATTGTAAGTATGCTTGGGTATATCATATATATATATGTTGATTTAGTATGATTTGGTTCATTTATTAATTATATTTGCGTATACGATGAACTATGAACAACTATGATGTACAGTACATTAATGTATATATATATATATATTAAATATTATAATTTTAATATGTAAGCAAACTTTGTGAGTCAAACATAGTGAAACCAACAAAAATCTTCACGCTGAAATCTCAAGACCAATCTGTGGGTCATTCAGTGCACCCTCCGGGAATCCCCATGAAATCGCCCGCAAAAATTGTTGTTGTTTTGATTTGTGAAAACATGTGGCAATCATGGACCAGACGCCACTAAAACGGAGGTTTTATGAGGTTTTAATTTCTTTATGGCTTGGAAACTCATCCAACTAAATGGGAGATTCTCCAGCAAACCATGTTTCATTGTCAGACATAGGTTTGGATTCTGCTTGGAGCACCATGGGCTCAACCATTCATGAAACCCGATGTTGGGATGATCCCTGAAGCTAACTGCGATATGTTGGACTGTACCCCAACTATATATAGCAAATAAATATTACAATGTGATTATATTATATCATAAATCTACATAGCATAAATAGTATGTAAATAACAATGTCCTAATACCCTCTGGTAATCAAACGGGGCAATATATCATTGTCCCGTTCAAACCTTCATTTTTGGGGTTTGTCACTGGCCACGTTTGATGACACAAGAGGCTATGTCGATTCATTTCCTACCACATTTGGGGATGGTTTATACCACCCATTTGTGGTGATTTAGGGGGTGGTTTACGAAATTGGGTTTACCACATTCATAATTATGATGTCTTGATAATACTTACCAAATAGTTGGCAATATAATGGCACAACAGTTATATACTTTAATAAAATTTATCCTATGGAATTATAGATATAGTAATAGGCGTATAGATATCTAATATAATCTAATATTCATATACTAATAGTAAACAACAATAACTCATCACTCCTCCCACCTGCACGCTCCGGCACGATGAGATCCAAGACGTGCGGCCGCTCGCGGTCCCGGTCCGCCGTGTCGGGGAGACCCGAGCGATCGAAGACGCGATCCAAGACCATCGACACAGCCTGGCTCGTCATCTCAGCCAATCATCCCAAGATTGGTTGAAAAACAATATGTTTTTGTGCATGCATATAATTAAATATTTTGGGTACATCTAGATGTATGTATATGTATATATATATAGGTATTCTATGGCTATTATATGTGTGTGTGCGCGTGTGTGTATATATATATATGTATAGATGACACATGTAAAAAACATTTGAAACCCCCCACCAGCCTGTCTCAGGGTGGATTCTTCACCACAGGAGATCATGATGATGCACTCCTGCAAAGGTCCGGTGTTGTCTGAAAAGAAAGGAGATTTAACCCACAAAAATGATGGTATCATGAGATTTTATGGGATATCCAAACAAGCGGTAGTGGGTTTGGGATATCCACAAATTGGCAATTTTGGAAAGCAAATGAGGGCAGCATATACCTCCAAAATGGATGAAAATGGTCGATTTTACCCACGAACATGATAAGAAACCTTTGGTCAACATGGCCAAAAACAAAGGATGCTGGGGATGGGGTTCCTTCATCACCGAGAAGCTCAACTATAGTTTGTGGTTGGATTATTTTTGCACATTGTAACTGGCGATGTTACCCTCTGCTATTCAAACATGGCAATGGGATCTATTACTCCATTTTTTTGAATGGATGGGTTTTTCTCAATTAAATATGCAGCAAAACCGCCATTTATGGATGCTTGTCCCATTAAAAACCATCTACTTATCGGGAAATCAGGCTCAAAGGAGCGGGCAGCTCAACGACACCTGGGTGACTATCCCATTGGACAACCAACGAAGAAATATGATCAACAAAAAAATAATGCACGTATGTATTTCAGAACATGATTGTAGTTGATGATAAAAATATGTTAATTAATGATAACCATATGATAGTTGCTATTGAAGCAATACGCAACATAAAATAAACATTGGCCGCGCTTGCCGTAGGTTTGAACAATGGCATTGATTTTTCTTGTGGCAGATATGCCCACCTTGACAGATTTGCAGCCACATGTTGTTAGTTTTTGGAACCACCAGCCAAACAGGTGTTCCAAATACCGAAAATTTCAGGGGTACCTGAAACATCTACACATCGGGTGTTTTTCCATTCCCGCATTTGATTGACCACCCAAGGATCCAAAAAGTATATCTCCATCGACATGCGCACCACAAAATGTCAATGTCCAAATGGTTCTACATTATCATCTGCAATCATCTTTGAAGCAAGCTTTTGGGGGAGCTCAAGAAGGGTTTTCCGTTGGAGAGTGGCTACTGGGGGTGTGGGTTCCACATCAACTTCTTACTGTGATATAAATAAATATATATATATATACATATATAATGATATATATAAAGTATTATAAAGTGACATCTATGTTTGTATTTAGTGTGTGTAGCTTAACTCCATCTTCATTGGTTACCTGCAAATTTGCTTAATAGTTGAGCTGTCATTCCATTATGGTCCCATAATTGTTCCACTATCATCTTGATGTGCATCCAGTATACATACCAATTCATGTGGCAAACCCGAGGTCACCATCCACTATATATAGTAGAGCATAAAACTAATCAACATTATATCACCAGATTAAATTATTCCACACTTTGCATCTGGTATTTGAAAAAAGTGTCATTCACCAGCTTGAAATTTGGTAATGCTGCCCCATATTTAAACCATCATTCCAGTGAGGTCGCAGTGAGAAAGTTATGTGAATTAGAATTCATCCAGATCACTATCAGCATAGTCCAATTGGCATCCCATTATACCATATTATACCATCATTTTTTGGGGCTGAGCCACCAAGGAACAATTTATTTCCAGTAGTCAGTAGCTATCAGTCATGGGAATCCATTAGGTCCCTGCTTCTCCACCCATTACATATCCCATGATCAATAAATCCATTTTTGTCACATCATTCCACCCCAGATCATCCCAGTATTCATCCCATCATTCCACCTATTGTCACCCCATCATTCCACAGATCACCATCTTATTATTCCACCAATTGTCAACCCATTATCGTCCCGTCATTCAACCCAGTATCATCCTATTATTCCACCCACTATCATCTCATCATTCCACCCCTTACATACCCCATGATCAGCCCAGAACATATGGGGGCTGTGCTAAATTCTGTTGCGCGAAAATGGCTCTTGCGCCGGCCTTGGGCGAACCTTTCGCGTTTCGTTTGATTTTTAGGCTCTGCATGTTTTCGTGCTCTGTTTTCGTGATATATCGTATATATTCTTATTTGCTTATAATATATTCATTTCTATTTATAACTAAATTTTAACTAAATCTATATATAGAGACAGAGGGAGAGGGAGAGAGAGAGAGAGAATGTATCTTTATGCCTGCGATATTCTTATGAGAGAATTTCTCTTCCTCCTCCGGCCTTCGTACATCCGGCTGTTTCCACAGCCTGCTGGCAAAGCTTTGCCATGCAGTGTTGTCCTCACAGCCTAAACCGACTTGGACACTCATCCTGGGTTCTGGCATGATCTCGTTGCTTGAACCTAGAAGGTGCAGGGCTGGAATGGAGGACTTTCGGAAAGATGTGTTACGGGGTCAACTTTGGACCTGAAGCTTGCGCGGCTCTTGCGCGGAGCTTGCGCGAATTTGGGCTGAAACATTCTCATTTTTGGCGGGTCTGTCTTTTTTCATGTTTATTTCAATCAAACTGCAGATCGAAACACCGGGGGGGGACTTGAACATCCCCATTTATACAATGTCGTAAACCCCAAGGCCATAAACAATATTTGATGGTTAAATGTATTTCTGTTGGGTGAAATCCTTATTATCCTTACTAAACCCAGGCATTTTCCCCAAATTTACATATCTTTAGCCATGATGGGAACCCCCCAAGGGGCCCCGCGTTGCGGGCACCTGGCGTCGCTTCAAGGCTTCAGGCAACTCGTCTTGCAAGACGCGCACCGCGTGCGCGCCCGCGGAAGCGCGGATGGCCTGCCGCAGCGGACGTTTTTTTTTAATGGAAGAAGCAAGGTCTTTACCATTTTAAAGCAGCAAACCTATGATAAAATTGTGGGTGATTCCATAAATTTGTGATTCCAAGAACTTTTGATAAAATTGTGGGTGATTCCAAGAACTTTAGACATAAAGAATGATAAAGAGATATGATATGGATTATTATATAGTGGCTGGATGTTACTTGGGTTTACTAGCTACTAACTTTCAAGTTGGATTCAACATAGATTCTAAACCCCCCTCATCCAATTTAGCTAAGCCTTGCCCCATGGTTCATCCTCGGTGATTTGGAACACCTCCATGGTTCCATTTGGAGAACCGATAGATCGTTCATAACACCCAGGATGGTCCAGGTATGGGAACAGTACGAGTACAATCTGCAGAATACCCTGCAACAAAAACGTTATCTCACAGATTCCTGCAAGCTATATATGTCATACTACAAAGGACTAGCCCATTAGTCCTAACATGCCAATCACCCAGAAAACAAAAACAGAAAAGAATGAGTTGGATCAACCCTTTCTGGACTCCAAAAGGCAAAACATTTTGCAAGATCATCGCGAAAATGCTCAGCCAGCAGCATCTTCCAAGCCAGGATGGAACGTCAACCGTCATGATAAATGATTATGGCAACAAAATGTAAAGTGTATGAAACCACCAACAATGTGCAACAGGAATGAGAGGAATGAACCGTCCAAATAACTTTTGGGTTTGTGTTTGGTGAAACGAACCGCGTTTGGAAAAACCTGTTTGAATATTCCCGTTTTCAAAATTGATTGAACAAAAGGGTTGGAATAGAAGCCCACATTCTCAAATCGCCCTTCAGCTTCGTTTGGAAAAGCAAAATGGTGGAAAATTCCCGAGTGATAGTGATATATATATATATATAATTATATTTATATATATATATATGTATATATATATGTATGTACTATCATGATGGGATATTTTTACATGTACTGCAAAGATGTTCCAAGAAAGGGGAGCTCTCCGCCGTTGGAAACTCCCCTACCGCTACCAGCAGCTAACTAATGGCTTGCCTCTGATATCCTGCAGAAAACAATTACATATGTTGTGCCTTGTTAAGTCATAGGCCAAAGAAATGTGATTAAAGCCTTAAGCCACCCATAAATACCCATAATACGTATTTAGATGCATTTAGCATGTCAGATCCACCGCAGCTGACCCCACCTTGATATTAGCGCCCTGCTTTCCAATCACCCGCGCCCCAGCAGTGGCACGCACGATGAGCCGACAAGGCGGCACCATGCTAATGCGGCCATCGCCAGCTTCGGCACCCGGGCTACCTGGAGGATCTGCCATGGTGAGCAAAGCATCTGAGCCAAGGGCCGTGGAAGTGTTGGAGGATGTTGGTTCGATTCTGGAATTCTCGGGCTTCAGTGCACTGATTTCTGGTTTGTTATGCTGTTGACCCTGCGCTATTGGGAGTGGGACGTAATTTATGAAGATCAATGGCTCACTTCGTTGACTGGTAACGATGTCACAATCCACTGAATATTTGATGGGTTGATCGGATGACCCCACCCACGGGAGTTGCAAATCATGGCTATTAACCAGTTGATAAGTGGAGCAATGCTCTGACTGATTGGGTAATTATATGGGAATAATGTTTCAAGTAAGAATATAAACATGACAACAACATTCAAACTCACCATGTTTAGTGATGGCTGGTCTGTTCCAAGTTGGTCTGTGACCTTGAGAAACATCTTACCATCGAAATAATGTCCTTAATGACACAATAGGCCTGTGAACATCGCATGGTGATTTGGAGAGCGAACTCAGCCTCTGAATATCGCTAGGACATTTATGTAGGCATCTGGAAGGCCCCCGTTTTCACCTACAGAACTATCACACAAAGCTTCGTTGCAGCACCCTATGGCTCGTATCTACTAGAGTGATCATCCATGATCATCCATAAAACGCGGAAAACTGGGATGAAATCACCTCACCATTTGTCACGGATTTTGACTCTTTGGGAGACATTTGACTCGGGACCCAAGGGGTGGACACACCCGATGGCAAATCAGCGCATGCCTTGTCAGGCATCTGGCCGCCATGAACTTGCTGACCTGCAGCCCGCAGATTCCAATGTGGTTTCCGTTGGTTTCAATCCACCACAAAACAACATGACGCAGTCAATACATGTCAATACTAATAATATCTACTACAGTAATATCGGATGGATTTGTCCTTGACTATCACCTCAGGTGGGGATGAACATAAACAAACATATCATATCACATATCTGATAGCATCAGCAATTTTGACATGCGTCATGATTTACCACGCTCCGCAGAGCACTGCTGTCCTTGCGGGATTTGGCGGAACATGTTAAAGGCGGCTGCTGCTGCCACCCTGTTAAAAACCCGCATTATTGATAGAGTTCTGCAGCCATATCACCCAATACGTAAATCCAACCTAATTAAGCCTCAAAATGGATCAACATTATAGATATTATAGATATTATAACTATATAGGACAGTATATGTATATATATATATGTATACCACATCCATTCCATTCCAATCTCCACAGAAACCATCGACCCATGCTAAAAGAAAACACCCAACACTTCACCGAAACAACCAATTTTTCACCAAACTTTTTATGCACATCGAAACATGCAAAAAAACAATAAAAAACATACAACAACAATCAACATTCTTGGGGCCTGGGGTGCCCCAGCATTTTTTTTTGGTCACATCCCAGTCATGTTCATGGCAACTCCTGAGCTCAGGGCATTTCAGAAGAGGCTGTTCTTCCAGGCCACCCTCCTTCACGGTCAAGGCTGATGCGAATGGATTTGCTGTGGGTTGGCAACCAGGGCCGCAACCAAGGCACAAGAATCCCACTGACTGAAGTTGAATACTTACATAACTTACTGTTTTTATCTGGTTGCATGGTCAATCGAGTTGGTCATCACAAGTAGGGTTGGACAAATGGCAAATCTTCAAAGTCATGAAGCAGGGTATAGGGACCTCGTACTTTGCCTCGAGTTCTATTCCATGGATGGCGGATCACGGATACAATTTCATGCAACCGTTCTACTCTTCAGATTCATCCCGGATAATCATTTTTGCCCCAGCCATCTGCAGGACTTTCATGCAGTTTCCTTCGGCATGTGCGAAAATTGAACAATCATATTTTCCGAAGAAGGTTTTCCTTCACATCCTTCCACCGGGTTTTCTTTCCTTTTTACTAGAGAATCCCCTCTCAATCGTCATTGGGTTGGTTGGTTTCCAGGTTGGTTTCCATCCGAAACACACGGTGGAATTCTCTCAATTTCCGGTTCATCCGGCTGTGGCCCCTCAACCGCCCCTCGCCTTGGGTGTTCCATTGATGACTTCCCAAGCGCCAGCGGAACCCGTGCAAATCCTCCCACGTAGATGTGGTTCAAGCCACTTTCTGAGCGGGAAACCCTGGGTTTTCCTCATCTATGTCAGTTTACCATAGTTTACCCCAATTACCCCAAGATCCAAGATCTGTCAACTTATTATTCTTAATGCCAAACGTCACCAATCAGTGGAACTGAGTGGATTTGTTATTCAATGTTCTATATCTGCAGAACCCATGGATACCCATGGTAGATGCCAGCAATCATTGCGCATAGATGCGTATAGCCGTAAAGGAAACCGGACGATGAAAAAAGTCACGGCGTTTTCTCCTGAAAAAGGCGAAAGTGTTCCTCTGAACTGTTCATCGAGGCGGTGCCATGAGCCAGAAACCAATAGGAAACTCGAGGGCATTGTTTTCTATCATGCCAAAACGTGGAAAACGTGGAAAACAATGAAAAAACATGCGGAGACCATGCGCAGACCATGGCCCTAGGTCCCTAGGTCTTAGTCTTGACTCACCTAAACAATTTTTGCTATCTGTTGCTGCGATCAGTTGAAGTTGATATCACTTGTCCAAATGGGTCCATGTAGCTTGGCTGGACTTTTCCTAGAACCGCCACTGTCAATAGAACTATGATTATGAGCTATGACTCACCTGAGCTTCTACTAATATCTTCCAATATCTTCTACTGGCCTTGGAAGACTTGGAAGCAAAGCAGTACTGAACATGTTCCAATGTGACACTCACCACCTTCCATGGTCAATCTTACATACCCTGCCAGTTCTGAAACATGACCAAACCTGCTAATCAAATGTGGCCATTGAACATCCAGTATAAATGGATATAAATGGTGTTTTTATTGGTGTTTTGACGGAACATCATCTATAAAATTCGATTTTTTAGATGACACCCAGCCATGTTTGATGACGCCGTCCTGAGGTGACCGCCCCTCTGCTTCCAAACAGGCTGGTGCCGGAAGCGGTCAGACAGCAGCAGGTACTCCCCGCCACACCTGCGCGAGCAGTCAGCGAGTCAGTCAGCGCAGTGCACGTCAAAAAGAAAGAACCGATGGCTTCACAGATTTTTTTGAGGATTTTCAGGTGATTTTCAATTGAGTTTTTTGACTAGTGGCCACTTTCAATTGAGTTTTCAATCACCATTTTTAATGGGAAAATCAACTATAAATGGCAATTTGCAATAGCTACGTTAAATTACCAGAGGATATCTCAAAATTTGGCAAATTTGGCCACTTGTTTTGATCCATCAAATGGGCCATGATGGGCACGTTACATCTTTTTGAAGACCTTGTTGGATGAAATGTTGGCGTAAAATTGGTGCAACGAAAACGAATCCAGACAAAGCAACCAAGCGGACTTTATCCAACCAATAAAGCCAGCCTAAATTCCAGCTGGAAATTAGGTATATGTACAGCTGTATTTTTTCCAACATCATTTTGCCCACAAAAACTCCCACAAATATCCACACCTTGGGGGCAATTCTGTAAGCTCATATGTCCAGCCCCCAGCCCTGCGATGGCCTCTGCTGGCCTCTAGGACACAGCACATGCAGTGAAGGCGGGTCAGTGCTGACCACGATGGCTGCGTCCTGGGGTCAGCACTAAGTGACTTGGACGCTGCTCAAGATCTGCAATTCAATCCAGCTGCTCCACTTCTCCCGGAGATGGTTGGCGGATTTGTTGAAGCAGAAACCCCATAGTTGAGGGTAGTTCTTGTTTCTGTAAATACGCCCCTCAACCAATCCATGAAACTTTGCCTTTGAGTATTTCGTCTTCTCAATCTTCTCCGTGCAAAATCCCCCACCAAAGGCAACTGTTGCTGGCCCCCAACACTGTTTCCAATCCATGGCCCATGCCTTTAATCCAGCACTTTTCCACATGGGCCTGTCCCCAAACATAATGGGTATACGGTTTACTCCAACTTCATTGGCCATGGCCATCACAATGATGCGCCAAACTTCCAAACCATTGGATTTTCATGTCTTGCACCAACTTCCCCAGTTCTACAACTGTGATTCCACGTCGCCACAGCCGGCGATTTTATCCCTCGTCGTCGCCTCTCGGAACTTCTCGCCATCCAAGCGCATCCAGTTTCCCACCATCTTTTCGGGTGTCCTTTTCATGTAGGCTATCTGGAAATTCAAAGGATTGGGCAGAGCAACTTTTAGGTGTCATCAAACGGGGCAAGCTGGAAAACATTTAGATGGTTTTCCCTATTGAGTTAAGTCCTGGTTTATATATGATTGTCCAGCCAGCCACGTTTGATTACCAAAGGGTATGTGGATTGGTAGTGTCGGGAAAATTTACAGGAAACCAATGGTAATTTACCTCAAAATCCCTCAATGATCTCGAACATTTGGGTGTGCACGCAGCTTTCCCCTGAAGCCAATCCAGTGAAATATAAGAAATCCACGTTTTCTTTCATAGAACACCATGAGAGATCCCAGCCGCATAGAGCTGCCACATTACATGGCTCGGACATCTACAAATGACATTTTCCAACGAATAACTCTCCGTGATTTATGGTGTGGTAAATGGAAGTGCGTATATGTCGGGCTGAAAGTGTAACAACATTACATGGGTTGTATATTCATAACCTTACAACCAGGAGATCAAAACATGTTCGCAAAGACTGAAAGCTTCCAACTGCATTTGCACCCTACGGTGGGTGGAAGAAATCATGCACGACCTTCATTGAAACCCTATAAATAATGGGATAAACCACCTATCAACTGGTGCAGGATTTCTTCCATCCACAGTATGTCTTTGACGTATCACCGTATCACCCAATCCATTGACTCGGGAACCACTGAATTCTGGATGATTGTCCCACTTGACACAATCATCATAACATATTAAGATCATCGACATGAGACAACTTATGATCATCTCCTGCTAGTGATCTTTGAAACATTTTGAAACCACGGTTCAACCAGGATCATCCAAGTGTCTCCCAG